CCTTCTCATTGGACGTACGGAATTTGTCACTAGTGAAAAATTTCGTATTTACTTTTCCCGCCGCGCCACTGGCGTACAAGAAAACAACAATCAGTTTTTTTAGATGTCCGTTCGACTTTTGATTTGAAATGGCTTCGCAGAGATACCATCCGTAAGCGAATTCACCGAACAACAGAATAATAATACAAAAATTTTAAAGCGAAATAATTCATTTGTTGTAGCTATTGTTGTACTTTTTGATGCATATTATATATGTTTGAAACGTTTGGTTTGAATTGTGTCTATCGTTCAGCACTTAAATTTCACTCTAATATATAATAACTCATATAATGAACAAATTACTTCATGGTTGATTCGCTTGTACGATTTGTATTATGCACTCGTTGCGAAAAATTCCTATAAACTCACTCGTTCGCTGCGCTCACTCGTTCGTTTATAGGAATTTTTCGCAACTCGTGCATAAAAATCGTACGCGCTCATCAACCATGAAGTAATCTCTATTTATCCAAAACGATAAAACGCGGATATGACGTATAAAAACTTTTTGGACTACATCCGCGTTTTATATCCTTCGGGATAAAACGCGGATTTAAATGACGTTTAACCAGATACGTCGTCCGTCCGTCGCCACCCGTCCGTCCGTCCGTATCCGCGTTTTACACCAAAACATTAAACAAACATGTCTAGTATACATGTGGTAAACACTTGTTATTTTTAGCACATTTGAAATAATTGTTGACATGTTATTTTTACTGTATAAAAATGTCTGCCCTCCATGACTGACGAAAACATTTGCTTATCTTGCCGTACCTTACTATAAAGTAACAATTTGCCAAAAAATGAATGACGTCAAGCACTTTTAAAAAATGGCTTCATCCTGGCAAATGTATTTTGTCTATATATAAAACCATCTCAATGATATTACAGTAACCCGGCTAGGCGAGTTTCCCGGCTAGGCAAGTTTCCCGGCTAGGCAAGTTTCCCGGCTAGGCGAGTTTCCCGGCTAGGCGAGTTTCCCGGCTATGCTGGATGAAAACGTAAGGGATCGTATAATCTGACCATAGATATAGGAAGCAAGGTCTTTTTGGGAAGTTTCATTTACATAATTTTTATTTGCTGGTGTAAATTAAGAACTTATCATATGGCTAAAATTGAGGGTGCAAATGACATGTCAAGAAAAATTGTGACAATGTAAGTAAAAAATTGATGTCTGTTTACGTTAGTCGATACAACTTGCCAACGAAAATTTGCTAAAGAAACATTATTTACAAACACGAACCAGTTCAATTCACGCAAAATTATAGCCTAAAGAAAATAGCTCGTGTAAACTCGCACACAAAAAGCGGGGCACAAATATTTTTTTCTGTCTTGCAAGGTGATCAAATAACTACAGCCCCGTTTACACTACGCTCAATTTTTGGTACCGTACCACTTTTTTGGTTCTTGGACTATCCAAATAGGTAGTCCAAGAACCAAAAAAGTGGTACGGGTACCAATTTTATCCGTGCCGTACCAAAAATTGAGCGTAGCGTAAACGGGGCTTACAAGTGAGAGGCCAGGGCGCGGTTTATTCTCTTTAGAGGTTCAGACCCGCAGACGACCCAGTGTTGGACATCCTAGCCCCGCACATTTCAGCGATTTCCTCTGAACATGGTAAGCAACTCTACTACGGTAACCACAGCTGCACAAAATTTCTTTGCTGACAGTAGTGCGGGGCAACAACTTAGCAAAGTTCCGAGCGGGGCTGGAGAATTTTATCACACCAACCTAAGCGGGGCTTGCTTTTTTTAACAGTCAAAATTGATTTGCCCAGGGGTACAATAAATTTTGCATGGCCACTAAAAACTAATACTTAACTCGACTAAATGCTATCCTCTTATTCGTTTAATTCATAAGTCTTGGCTGCATGCACAAGAATTACGACAATTAAGTCTTTCTAATTACGCGTACGTGTTCATATTACAGTTAACACTGTGTACGTGTTCATATTACAGGTTAAGGTTGTAAGTTTAAGGTTTAGAATTTGGAAGGACAACCTTTTTTGAATAAGCTGTATACTGTACTAAGTTTTCAGTTACTTTTGGCACACTTCCTGTCTTATTCTGCGATCCTGCGATGAATTACCAAATATGGAATACATGCATATATGATTTTTATATATGCATATACCAGAATGACAAATATAGATATGCATATCTTCCAGAATGGCATGCATAATTGGCAGTGCCAGAATACATGCAATATTACCTGGTTTCGATTTAGGAAGTCATTTCTTGCTAATCTTAGCTTGAAGCAATCTCGTTCCCCAAGCATATGGCATATCTATGGCCATATCACCCATATGGCTCTGGGCTCTGGAGAAATCGAAACTGATTCAAGTTGAAAATTTCAAACGTGAGTTCTACGCATGCTCGGCAATGTTGCAAAATATAAATAAAGTATTTAGAATTTCGCGTCGAAAATTTGATACATTTTACACTGAAATCGAATTGAAAACAACTAAAAATTCTGGGGGAAATATGTACGAAAGCTTCGGTTGGATAGGGATACAGCTACCTGAAAAATACAAAAATACTTCGTTTGAGACGTTTTTCGTTGAAATTATTACTATATTTGATGATGATAGATGTCTGTATTAGAGAGATGTCTGCATGTATTAGAGAGATGTCCGTAAAAGGGTGTGTGTATTAGAGAGATGTCTGTATTGGAGAGATGTCTGTATTAGAGAGATGTCTGTATTAGAGATATGTTTGTATGACCTTTATTAGAGAGATATCTTGTATTTATAGAGGGATTTATGTATTTGAGATATATGTGATAGATGTCTGTATACATTGATATCCGCATTAAAGAAGTGACTGAATTAGCGAGATGCTGTATTAAGCCTCGGTCATACGGAGATGATAGTTGACAAGCGTTGACTAGCGGAGTTCCAACTCTTGTTTGCGTTTGACCGCCACCTCTCATCAACTCGTGTACTCTTGCCAAATCTCATGAACGCACTTGTTCAAATTGCCAAGATTTTTTTCTCGTTTGACTATAGTAATATTGTTCCAGAGGTTTAAATAAACCTCTGGTTGAAAGCGGCAATTGATTCATCGAGCCGCGCCAATCAGTTTGAATAAGGGTCAGATCCTGACTCTGTCTTCTGATTGGATGATTGTATTAAAGCTCTCTGATTGGTTATAGATGTTTTATTTTAATCAATCATAGAGCTTTAATACAATCATCCAATCAGGAGACAGAGTCAGGATCTGACCCTAATTCAAACTGATTGGCGCGGCTCGATGAATCAATTGCCGCTTTCAACCAGAGGTTTATTTTTTCTCTCCCCTTCGCAATGAAAATAAATAAAAATAAACCTCTGGAACCAGGGTATAGTAATATCCAAGTCAAGTCTCTTCAACTGATACAATTCTTGATTTTGACATGCAAGTTATAAAAACTCTCGTGCAAACTCTCGCCAACTCTCGTCCTCATTTGAAACTTTGAAAAGGAAAAAGAAAATGCACGTATTAGGGAGATGCCGATATCAGAGTCTTTTAATTACTGACATTTACATATACGGCAGAGTGCAGACACTTTAATACATATACGAACGATATATACTAACAAATTCTTTATACGTTAAAACGCGTTTGCTAAAAATGGCTCACAAAATATATTTCGTTAGAAAACCTCAGCAGTTGGTCGTCATCAGGTTTTTTACAGAATTATAAAGTACTAGTTAAAACATGAGCAGCCGATCTTTATCTGATATACAATTGATATCAGATAAAGATCGGCCAGTGGCGAATTCACTTTTTCCGGGGGGGGGGGGGGGAAA